TCAGAGACCTTGATATCACCACAATCAGATTTCACCTCCTTTCCACCTTCCACATACCTGTATATTTTGATCTTTAGCAACTTCTCCACTTTCATCTCCTACCAGACTCACTCACTCATGATACTCCAGTCACACTGAATTTTCTTTCAAATTATTAAACTCAGTCCCACCTCAGGACCCTTGCACTTGCTGTCGGCCTAGAACACATACTTCCCCACCCCCTCATGCCTTGCAGCTCAAATGCCACCTTTGCAGCGATGCCTTTTCTGACCACCTCAAGGAAGCTGGCATTTTCTCTCTCCGGTCACTCTCAAGTACCCTGTATTTCTACAGCACTTAGCACAACCTGAAAGACTTATGTTTAATTCTTTATTTACTTGTTGTCTGACCCACCGTCACAACACACACACACCTTCAACATCAGAATACAAGTTCCCAGGGAACCCAGCCATCATCTCCTCCCTCCACCACTATCCTCTGTGCGGGAATTCTGTTCAGCACATAGCAGAAACTAAATAAATACATGCTAAATAAATAAGCCTGCCTGGGTCAATAATAAATGATCCAGGCAAATGTGGAGGTTCATCTGACACTAGGGGCCTTACTCCTACCAATCTATCAGTTGCTTCTCATTGTTAAGTCTTCATAAAGGTTTTAGCCAGGAGGTTATAAAAGAGTGGTTCCTAATTAAAAATCTGGAAGTCCAGCTTATATGAGAGGAAATAAACAATGCAGCAAAGGAGGAGAAACATCTGTTTCTGATTATGTCATGTAAAATCAAATTTATGTCCTAAAGTCTGGAGACATATCTCATATTTCCTAATCATTTCTTCTTAAAATTTATGTAGGAAATGGATGGGTTTTTCTTTTTCAGCTAAAATTCTATTTTAAAAGCACCAGGGAATTTGTTATTTAAATGTAGCCTGAAGCAAATACCCTATACAGCAAATAATCTTGCCTTAATTTGAGTTTTCTGCACTATAGCTTTTTTGTTGTTTAATAAGTTGTGATATAATGCAATTTTCATTGCTGGCTGAATTGTTAGATAGGCTTTGCTTTGGTTTAAACATGCATTTCCAATGTAATCACAAGGTGTCTAGTGCTGAATATGTGGGTACATCCTTTGAGGCCCAACTAAGCAGAGAGCTGGTGCTGTGTGATTCAAGAGATAAAACATAGTCAACCAACTGAGGATATGGCCTTGCTGGCTTCTCTGTTCCCAGACGTATTTTTCTGACTCCCTTACACTCTTTTTCGCAACCTGCACTCAAATGTCCTTGTCACCTGGGAGTTCCTGGAGATGCCAGGGCCTCCTGTTCACTGGGGGATGCTATGAGAACTGCCCTTCTAGGGCAGGAAGAGAAAAGCTACCTTCCCTTTGGTTGTACCAAGGATACAAAAAGGAAAAAGCCTCTTTCACCTGCACACGGAAAGCTGTATTCCTCTTGGGTTTGCAAAGGTAGGTTGAGTATCTCAGCTGATCAGGGTTCTGGCAGCCTCATACCACAGCTGCTCCACAGTGCAGGGGAGGCAAGAGGCCTCCTTTGCACAATATTTCTCAGTTGCCTGTCATAAAACATGTTTTACCTCCACCTGTGTCTGCCTGTGGCAGCCATTTCTGCTTATTTCCAGTTACTTCCAGAACCCTGACCTCCGCCAGGCAGGACAGACTCTTGTAGTTTAGCAGCTGGACTGAGGCTAAAATCCTGACCAGAAATTCAGATGACACAAGCATCATGAGTCAAAAATCAGTCCCCAAAAGTCAAGTCTTCCCTCCCTCTCACTGGAGTTTGCGGGGTTCCTCCGGGCTGGGCTGCCCAATGGCTCACAGCAGGTGTTGGCAAGATCAGTCTGCAGAGAGGAACAGGGGCAGTGCCCTACACCAAGGGATGCAAATTTTAGGAAGCCGGGCCTTCTCCGGGTGAAGAGGATGCCTTGAGGAACAAGACGGAAGCCTTGGTTATCTGATCAGCAGCGAAGTGTGCCGGTGAATGGGACCTGACCTTGATGTCACACCTGCATACTGGAGGGGGAAGGACACTCCCAGTGGCTACTATGTCCTTGGGTGGATCTCCCTCTCGATCCTGTCCTCAGTCCAGGAGACAGGCGCATTATTCCCCTATTACCACTTTACCACTGGGGGGGACAGCTGTGGGGTGAAGCAGACGGTCCCAGGCAGCAGAGCCTGGCCTCGCATCCGGTCCAGTGGGATGCGTGACTCACTGCCCCTCCACTGCTCCCAACCCCCTGGAGGACCGTAGTCCTACAGACAAGCCAATAGTGAGCATTAGCTCAGTAACAGCTTACATTTGCTGGCCGCCCACCGCCAGCCAGGCATTTATCCTAAGTGCCCTGTTTGTAGTGTCTCCCGTTGCCCTTGCATCCACCCCTGGGAGGTTAGCTGCTTCAACGATGATTTTACGCTGGAACACCCACATCACAATGGCTAAGGAACTTCCCGGGGTCCCAAGGCTGCAGGTGGTGCAGCTCCAGGGTCCCTGCTGAACAGCCTCACATTCCCAGGGACTGGCAGCCACCTCCAACAGCTTAGGGCACAAATATTTTATTTCCCAAGCTGGTGCCCAGCCCACCTGAAACACCCACCCCACGGCCTGGCTGCACCTGCCACGTCTCCTCCCCTTGTCCTGGCTGGCTGCACCCTGGTTGGGGCAGCTGACACTCTGGCACGAGACCTGCTCCTGTCCAGTTTGCTGCAAATGATCCCAGTTTCCCATGTGCCGTGAACCTATGCCCCAAGCGTAGATGTTATGTTTTGATAGATTAGAAACCGTACAGGCACACGGCTTCTTTAAATCTTTAATCCTTGGTTTACCAAGCACTATAGGAGTCGCGCTTAAAGAGATGCCCCTCTTTTTCCACCGAGGCTCCCCTCTCCCTGGCAGCGCCACCTGCTGGAAAGAGGAGCCTGCGCAGCCTTAGGCCTGGGCTCGTGTCCCGGTCCTGTTCCTTAGTAGTGTGGCCGCCAGCAGCTCCTCTCGGGGACACAGTTTCCTCCGCGGGGAAACGGGTGCCTGCCTGCCTTCAATCTCTTCTTGGGCTTTAGTGAGACCAGTGCGGACCTGGCCCACAGGGCGTGAGATGAGGCCGTTCCTTCCTCTCCTTAGGAGTGGATGGAGCCTTTTCAGTATAATAGCCATTTGAAGCGTGGTCTTCAAATGTTTCTCTCCTACAGGCAGCCTTGGCGGGGAGAAGGGCACTGAAGGGACAGACGCTGCGCCCCGGCCCTGTTGCCCACTTGTTGTGCAGCCTTGGGCCGGACGCTGAACCTCTCGGAACCTCGATTTTCTCAACGGTGCAATGAGAAGATCTGGGCTAGATCATCTCTCAAGCACTCCCCTGGGCGAGCTCTGTCGGCTATGACCACTTAGGGTGCCTGCCTCCTTGGGGTGTCTGGAAATGAGCGACTTTGCCACTGTGAGGCCAGAGCTCCAGGTTCCATTCAGCAGACTCGTTGCACTCTCAGTGAATCACCCCAGAGGGTCTATGGAAACGGCCTGGGGCTGCCTTTCCGGAAGCAGGGGGCAGCAGGGACATGCTAGCCGTTGGCTACCGTGGCACGGGGCAGAGCAGGGGCCCCGGGTTGTGGGGCCGGCCTGGCTCCCCCCAGTCTAGCCTCATGCTCCCTAGTCCCCTGTATGCTCGGCTCTAAGGATTTTATTTGCAAAATGGGAATAGGAGGGGGTGAGGGGAAGTTTGCACTAAGCGACCCCAATTGTTTTTACATTACAAAAGCGGTGAAAAAGGAAACTTAGGGTGTTAGAGAAAAGCCACTCAGCAGGTCATCTTCCCAATTCAATCACGATTTATCATGAGTTTGGTCTTCTCACTTTTCATTTGTGTGATTCACCCAGAGGCTGTGTAAGTTTCTGTCTGGTTTCTTTGTTTTTGTTTTTGTTATTTTACTTAATGACTATTGTAAAATTGTACGGGTTGCTTCATGAGCTTTGAGATCACGTATAATGATGCATAATTCTTTTGCTGTTCCACTTGTCTGTTGGCTTGCTTTTGAACATTAAAAACAGTTTTTTACTTTTTTCCTTTTTAAATATATGACTACCTTACATCTCTTTGCACGCACACGCATGTGCGTGTGTGTGTGTGTGTGTGTGTACTGTGGGTGTGTTTGTTTCTAAGGGAATAGATTCTCAAGAATGGAATTACTACTTTAAAGAATATCAACATTTGCATAGCTTTTGGTACATCTAGTCAAGTTGCTTTCCCAAGGGGCTGCATCAATTTACAACGCCATCAGCAATTACTCATTCTGCACCGTCTTACCCAGAACTGGTTATTACCACTTAAATTTTTTGGATATTCAACGGGCAAAGCAGTGACAAATTGTTTTAATTTGCACACATTGATCAACTGAGGAAGCCAATCACATTCCATCTCTTTCTTCTTCCCTCTTCCCAGAACCAGGAGATTCCTGAGACCCTCCCAGCCCAATCCTCTGACATTTTAAGGCTGCAAGCCTCCAAGAAAGCAGAGGGATAGCCCAAGATTGAAGGACTCAGACAGGACACTACCTGGAGACGCCGACGCAGGGGTCAGGGCTTACCGGGTGGAAGCGGCAAGGAGAACCTGCGACCGTGAGCTAAGGAAACTCCAAGGAGCGACTGGCCAGACCCAGAGGCGGCCTCCCCACTCGGTGGGGTCTCGGAGGCTCCGTTTATGTGCAGTGCAAACAATGCAGCTGCTCCTCCTCTGCCATTAAAAGGTAGAGTCCTGTGGCATCATTCGCGTGGGAACCCTGTCCCAAGGCCGGCTGGGGGAGTTGGGATGGATGCCTCCCCTGGGGACCCTCTGGTGCAGCAGGCTTGTTCCGTATCTAGTGGGCAGGCCTAAGGTACCTGGACTGACGTCCCTAGTAACAACCAACTGTCTTGATGCAAAGGTCAGGGAAAACCCGCGACCCGCAAGAACGGGAGTCAGCGCGTGGCACGGGGCCTCCTCCCCGCCGCCGCCTCCCCTGTGCTCACCTCAGTCTTTCCCATGTCTCTTCACCAAACTCCTCCTTCACAAGCGACTCCAGACAGGTGTTGATGAATCCGTACTGGAACACAGGACCAGAGGGGGGGGTGTGAGGAAGGGAGCCCAGCATCCCCTCCGGACGCCGGAGGGGCCTCTGCAGGGAGGGGGCTGCCGCAGGCCCCGGGGATGGGAGCTGCGCCTTCCCGGGTTCGGGGGGCTCACCTTAGCAGTCCTGCTCACGCCCAGCTCACACAGAAAACACAAGAGCTCAGTTTGAAATCGGGGTAGAATTAGAAGGGGTTCATCGCGATTATTTCCCAAGTAAGGAATTGCTTGGTGAGAATAGTTCAAAACCGGGTTCGGCGGTGGGGGTAGGGGGCTGGAGACAATGCGAGGGGCATGGGGAGGAAAGGCCCTTGCCTGCTGCCGTGTCCGAAAGGCAGGGAAAGGACCTGTTCTTTTCTTTATGAAAATGCACCAGGGGTGTGTGTGCCCAGAAATTGAAGGAAATACCAGGAGGGCAAAGAGGACAGTGAGGACACAGGGATGAGGAGAAGTCACTCACGGACCTGTGGCCGTCCTTCCTTCCTCCTCAGGCTGAAAATAAAAATAAGTGAAAGGGGATGTCTCTGCTGGGAGGGCGGGCCGCCCCCGCCCCCGCCCCCTCTCCACAGTTCGGCGCCTGAGCTCGGGGCCTTGGCCGGTTCATACGGTTGGAAAGTTGGAAGCACCCGGGGAGCTGGGTTTGGGAAAGGTATCTTCATAGAGGGAAGAACCCAGCTCATAATCAGGCTAGAGGTTTGCAAGTCTGGCCCTGTGCACGTGGGGGTTTCTTAGGAGAAAGAGGCCAGTGCAGCCGGGAAAGGGAGGCTCTGAACCCCAGCAGCTCTTTCCTTGGCACAGAACGGATGGACTCCCCGGGGGGCTTCCAGGTTCCCGCCGTCAGGAAGCCGTCTCCACCTGTTCCATCCTTCCCAGCTCTACTGCCCCCCCGGTGTGGCCCTTTACAGCCCCTTGGCCTGGCCTCCCAACACTCTTGACAACTGTCTTGATTTGTGTTTCCGTTATTGCGCACACCTGCCGCCGGCCCGCCCTGAACACAGGAGGCAGGCCTCCCACGGCACAAGCCGCAGCTGCAGGGGGCCTGTGTCTAGAGCCCTTCCTATCCTCGGCCAGGAACTGCCTGGGGTGCAGATGCAGCCCTCAGCCCCCCATCCTCATCCCCACAGGACTGCTTTAAAATATCACATGCACACACACATGTCTCAGCTAGCTGGCTGGCATATGTGCACACCCAATGCCCCCTGACACACACACACATGTATGTGTATGTATTATGTATATATTATTTTTACATATAATTTTTCCCCTCTCCTTTGCTAATTACAAGCTCCTCGGGTTCAGGAAGTAGGTGAAACTTACCGATACTTGACTAACGTGCCAAAATGGTACCTGGCACATAGTAGGTACTTAATAAACACTGAATAAACAAGTACTGGACTGAACCCTCAAGCTTGAACTCATGAAAATCTTTAAATACCTCCAGACACTTAAAATCAACCCAATGTTAACAAAGGTAGCAGCTGCCTACCCTGGTGGTCCCTGCGAAGGAGGGCCTAGTGTAAGGCGAGCATTGCACGGCCCGCCAAAGCTCCTAGTGTGTGACCAAGGAAGCCCAGGCTGGGAACCCGGCGGCCACTGCTGGGGGCACCACGTGGGGTGACATGTTGCCCATGTTCGGTGAATCTAGCATCAGTGAGACACCTGATCTGGAAATAGTAGGGCTAATTCTTCTAGAATTACAGTTTTGGGGGGTGGAGAATAACAGTTCTGGGGTCTACCTGCATGGCATACCTGCTGACCACCCCCCATCTTATGAGCTGTAACCCTGGCCCTGCCTGCACCAAGTCTCCCGACTTCAGTTGATTCATCTGGAAAATGGGGATGAGAATGGCCCCCTTCTTGTTGTAATAGGGTTGTAATAGGAGTAAATAAGGTAACAGGTATATTGTCAGCCGTTTCAGACAATACGCATTTTGAGCAGTAAGTGCTCGACAAAGCGGAGGTGAGGGGAGGTCAGGACAGGGGCTGGGGCCGGGCCATACCATGTCGCCCAGCAGCCGTCTCCTGGCTCGGCGGTCCAGCAGGGCACCAGCTCTAGAGCCGCCTGGCTGAAGAAGCCCATCTTGTAGTGGCTCGGGCAGCCCCCGGGGAAATCAGGAGGTGCCAGGGGCCTTCAGCCGGGAGCTAACTGTCAGCCCTGGGTCACAGGGGGAGAAAAAAGTAAGGCTGCTTCTCCAAGGAGTCATCTTCCCTGAGGGGTGCAGCCTGAAACCTGAACTTCTCTCCCAGGTGGCCACCGCCAGCCCCACCGCTCTGCCCTGCCTGAGGTCACAGGCCCTCAGAGCCCTGGGCAGACACCCCTGCGCTGGGACACAGCCTGGAGCGGCGCCCAGCCCGCCTGCATGCCTCACCCTCACTTCCCATCTGATCTCCCCACAAACTCAGAATCTCCTTCATCCCCGTCCCACCTGGTCACCCCTCAGAGCAGCCAGTGGCCGGTTCTCCAGGAAGCCTTCTCTCCCAGTTCGGCTTAAGTGGGAGGCCGACTCCTGAAATCCAGGCAGCTTTGGCTGAGTCCCCATTCGTCTGCTTAGACTGATGGCTGTTGTTCCCTACCTGTGTGATGAGCCCTCAGGGGGTACAGAGGGTGCCAGGGTCATGCCAGGTGATAAGCGTGTGGGCTGAGCTCCCAGGGGGCCAGTCTCAGGGCCCGTGGCCCCAGGGCACCCTAGAAGCCCAGACTGGGACTTGGAGAGGCCACCAGGCTCCTGCAGGAAGGCTGTGCTGCAGATGGGACGGCCTGCCGAGAGGTCTTTCTCACTCTCTGGCCAACCCTCCTGGGATGTGGTCCAAGCATGGCCCACCTGGCCCAGAACGTGACCCCAAACGGTCTCTGTGAAATCTCGTGTTGCCTCAAACCTCCCCTCCTCTCCCTCCCATGACCCCACCTCAGGCTCTGGCAGCCTGCTTCCTGAGGACTGTGATCAGAGGACAGAACCACCCCCCAACACCAAGCAGGTCCAATGAGTGTGGCCTACAGCACTTCCCCGGACACGCCAGCTTTGCTCTAAGTGCAGGAGCGAAAAATAAACATAATGAACTCAAGGGGAGGGGAGAGGTAAGCCCTCCAGGCTGCCCGGAGGCACAGGACAGCCCCTCGGGTGTGACTCATGGTCAGGGCAGCATCTCACGGACCTGACGATGTCAGAGGCCGAGGCGCCGCCTGTGGTGTCCTCCTGAAAGTGCAAAGCCTTTTATCTTTCCATCCTCAACACCCCGCACAGAGAGTG